GTGTGGCTGTGCCTGGGGTGTCACACACTGGATGGTGTAGTCAGGATTAACCCTTTAATGCCTTGACACTGCTGCCCCACTGCAGGGCTCAGGCTCCACCAGCCCCACTGTGACATCTGAGGTTGTGAGTTTTTATCTGCTCTCCCACCTTTTTCTCACATCAGAGAGCAGAGCGATACAGTAATAAATGTTGTGTGGGTGTTTGGACCCGAATTCATTGCCTCCTCTGCTCACCACATCCTTCTATCGGCACAGTAATACCGACACGGGGTGACGTCAGCCGCCATTTATCGCTGTGCATTCCAGCCCCGTGCAGCCCTGGCTGTGCACAAGTCTGCTTTGCTCTGACTCATTGCTGATGAGATCCACCTGCTTTCCAGCTGCTGCGCAGGCAGCGTCTGCTGCCGCGGTAATGATGTGCCCCGGCCAGCCGAGGAACTGCTGGATGGCTGGGATGGACAACTGAAAGGACGGGGCAAGGTAATGTCCGTGTTCCCACCTGCTTTCCCTGCTCCCAGTTTGTTGCTGCCTGGTACCTGTGGCTTCACTGTACATCTTTCTTACAGTTGACGTGGCCCTCGTGCCCCTGCTGTCATTGCTGTTGGCCTCTGCTAGTCACCTAGAGTATCCTTCTGCCTCCCTGTTGCTTTAGCTTTGTGATTAGATGGCAGTGTATATTGCTAATGAATTTTTTTCAAGAAGAAAGCTTGTTTTTCCATATAACTGGTGGACTGAGAGACTTCTACTCTTTTTTGCTTGGGTGTAGCTATGACATTTATTTTCTCATGCTTGGAAATACCAGGTTTGTGGTTTTGGGGTTTTTTTGTTGTTTTTTTTTTTTTTTTTTTAATTTAAAGTGAGTTCTTAATTAGGCTTGTTTTATTGTGGAAGTTTTTTAAGCACTTACATTTCCTGTAGACACTTCAAATTGTGAGCTTAGACTGCTTCCGTCTTTAACAGTTTATAGTCCCATATTTCCAATCTTTGACAAAATAATCTTCATAAATGTCTGTGTCTGTACTGGTCCTATTTTCTATTCTCTGGTATATTAAGACCTTGTAGCATCACTGACATGTACACATCTATATGAGTGCCTGTTCCACTTTATTACTGTGCTTTCTCACACTGTTCCCTAGGATACTGCAGAGTTTGCAGCAATGGTGCTTAGCAGATGTACAATGCTTGATATTTTATAAGAATTAACTAATTGGGTTTCAAGGATGCATGAAGCTGTCCCTTTGTCCCCATTTCACAGACAGAGAAATTGGGATGTGCTGGTGAGAAGGACTTTTCTAGTGTCAGACAGGAAATAGGTTCTTGCCTCTGCTCGTTGCCCACTGCCCCTCTTCCCTCCAAGGGAGCAATTGCATGGGCAGGGCGCTGACAGATGGAAGAAAATGTGCAGGGTGTGAGAAATGGAGGGATGTAGGAAAGGTGAGGGTCTTAACCACAGACTGGGACTGAGGCTTGCAGAGGGCCTGACGGGAAGAAGCTTCAGGACAGGGGCTGCTGTACATCTGTGAAGCCATGAGGTCTTCCAGTCATCAAAGACCAGAGACACTGCATCTGTCACAGCTCTTCTGCACAGACATCCACGTCTTGTTATCACAGCCTGAGCACAGCCAGGAGGTCAGGCACATTGATGCTTTCCACGGGGCTCTAGGAGGTAGCGGTCCTTCCCCACCACACTAAGTCGGGAGAACTGTGTAAGAAGTGGAGAAAAGTGTCAGACTCTGGGCACTGGCAATGGTAAGAGATGGGATGGTGGAGTCCCAAGGGGGGAAGCATTATCTCTTTGCTTCGCCCACGTTAGCAGATCCTACTGCTTTCCTGACTTAGTTTTGCTACAGAGCTGTTATTCAGGAAGCTTCCTCCTAGATTACACCCTCTGCATCAACCTCTGACCGTGTAATGCAGCCTCTGGTATCTCCAAAAACTTCTTCCCAACGAGCTTCTGGGGCTTGTTGCTTTGACTTTCTCCTGTTCAGTCCTTCCTGTCCCCTGGGGTTGATGGTACTGTTCCCTGACCAGAGGAAGAAAAATGGAGAAGGCACTTTAAAGAAGTGGCAGTCCAGTAGCTAAAAGCAGCAAAGACTTCCTTTGCATTGCTCTGCCTTTGGCAGGAATGGGGATAAAATGAGGGAGGTACAGAAACATCATGAACGTGGCGCTGCCAGCTGGGTTCTGCAACGAGCCGCGGGGCTGCAGAGCTCTCCCAGGGCCCAGCCCTTCCTTCCTCTGCTGAAGAAGGGGCCAAGACTGTGGAAGGTGACAGTCACAAAGCAAAGTGGCTCTGAGAGGTGCTCTGCAGCAGGGCACGAGATGGCACCAGCCCGTCCCGCAGGCTGGAGCGTGCTGGGAGGCTGGGGAGCAGCAGCCCTGGGGACTGGGCACTCTCGGGGTGGGAACGGGCCCATTTGGGCAGGTTGTTGGCACCCTGAGCTGAGGGACCCCTGAGTATTCTGAGCCCAGCCAACAATAAGTTCCAGGTGTTTTGCAAGAAGGACGATTTGAGAAGGCAGTGGACAGTCCCACGGATCGTGTCTCCAGGGCTGGTGACCTCTAGGCGCCAGGGCCGGTCCCTTTGGCACAGGTCTTCTGTTAAACCTGCTGCAAGGAACAGGCCCTGTGCTGCCCAGAGCCAGGAGCAGGCGCTGCACCAGCTGCAGGCGACGGCCCGTCCGCGGGCACCCGTGTCCATGCTCAGCCGGGAGCAGCAGGAGTGGGTGAGCGGGCTCCAGGCAGCAGGAGAACAGGGCGCTTCCTCGAAGGAACGAGGATGAGAAGAGCAGTGGAAGGATGAGTGGGAGCAGCAGGGGGGGTTGGACGGGGGCTGTGTCCTTGTAGCCAGGGGCTGCACCACCAGCAGCAGTGGTAACTAACGACAATTGTTATCCAGGGAAAACTTGTGGAACGGGGACCAGAGGGCTCAAGGAAAGGTGTTTCCTCAAGGAAATGTATGATGCAGAAAGACGAGCTGGAGTATGGGGGAAGAGCTTCTGTCCTGCCCCTCACCATGGGCAAAGGATGAGCAGGGTGCTCGGAGCT